ATACTTCTTATGCTCCAGAGAGTATACTATACTGTCTCAATTTGCATTGATTTGATAGAAGTAAAATATTAAAATTATAGAAATAAAAAAATCCTTAAAGTTGGCAAATAACTTCCTTTTTGTTTGACCAAAGACAAGAATATTCTTCAAAACGAGATGATGGCATGGAACAAGAGCTGATGCAAAGAAAAAAATAAATTAATGGTTTTATTGGAACCAGGTCCACCATAAATCGGATATAGAAATATAGAATGGGGATAAACAAAGAGTAACTTTATTACTTGGGGCGCTAGGCCCAAAATAGTACGTATAAAGCCCAAGGTACAGGCCCACGGAGTGGGTTATAGACTTATAGCTAACTATGCTACTGATAGGAATCAAACTCAGGTGAAATAGTACGTACAAAGCCCGAGGTACAGGCCCAGAATGGCGGCCCACGAGGTGGACTATAGTTAACTATGATAGGAATCAAACTTAGCTGAAATAGTACGTACAAAGCCCGAGGTACAGGCCCAGAATGGCAGCCCACGAGGTGGACTATAGCTAACTATGCTACTGATAGGAATCAAACTCGGATGAAAGGGTTGAGAGTATGAGATCAAGACCACTAGATTGCAGTGTTTGCGTTACCCCTTGCTAAGGATCCAGGACCCCAATTTATAGTATGTCCCTCTCCTCCCTTGGCGTCCACGTGTCCCACGTAATCACTCGTCACTCCCCTGTTGATCGCCATCCCGCGCGTGAGGGTGCTGGCAGTCACACTGTCGTGCCCCCAGCGTGAGGGGCGCTATGCCCGCGCACCAGGCGCGTTGGGCGCGCCGTCGCCGGCTGGGGCCAGCGACCCCTCCGGCCACAACCGCCAACCCTACTCTCAGTCACCCCCCCCCCCCTCCCCCCCCAATCCATTCGGTTAATAAAAAAAATTCTTTTAATTCTTTTCCGTAATTGAATTATAAATCATATTTTGTATCAATTATTTTTTTGAATGCTACTGATTCTATTACAATGTAGTATACTGAGGCTCAAACTCACAACCTCTCATATGGCAATCCAACCCGGGTGCCATTAGACCACGAGGCCTTGGCATATTTTGTATCAATTAATTAATCACTTTGAATAATTTTTATCACATGTAACACATTATAAATTTCTCAAGTAATATATATGCAATTAGAATTATGAATAAATCTCACAAATCATAATTTTAAGGGAAAATGGTCAAATAAGCCCTCAAACTTTATCTCTAAAGTCAATTAAGCCCTTCTTAAACATTACAAAGTTGCAATTACACCCATAAACATGTCATTTTGATGCATTAAAGTCCATCAAGTTAATGACCTGTTATTGCAGGTCATAAAAATTCCGGCGACCTTCTAATCCATCCCGATGACGTTCCGATTAACTCTGACGAATTTCTGATCAACCCGCCAAAATATAAAGAAAAACACAAAAAATACCAAAATGTCACATGTCCGAAAAAACCATTTTGGTGATCCATTCCGCGGTGTCCTCCACCCCCAAATGCTCCTAGGAAGAGCCGCCGGTGGAACTACCGTCACATCTCTCTTCTTCTTCTTCCCTTTCCCTTTTCTCATGTCCGCGGACGGCCCCAACAATGACGACGCCATCCTTAGTCTGATCACCCGTTGGTAAAAATTCAATTTTAATTTTGGAATGGATGAAAGGAATTTCAGAGAACACTCTGATGTTTTCCGTCGTAGGTCTACATCTACTTTTGTAAAATTAATTGAAAGTTGTGCTCAAAATTTGAATTTTGGTGATTGATTGTGTTAATGGGGGATGCAACTGCCTAGTGAGATTGATTAATTGTGCTCTAAATGTACATTATTTTTGTATTGAATATACATACAATATAATGTACACTCAGAACAAAAATAATGTACATCCCCTAAATACAATGTACATTATTTTTGTACTGAATGTATATTATTTTACAATAGACAAAATATGATTCACACAACATGGTCCACACAATAATGATTGGGTGGGGGGAGCAACTACCCTCATTGCCCTCCCTCCGGATCTGCCCATGATTAGTGGACTGTCAAGGGCATAAACATTTATACAGCTACTACAGGCATGGATGAGACTCTTAATTTCATCAAGCTAATCAAGAAAAATCAAAAAGGAAAATCGCAACAAGTAGAAAAGTACTTACAATTTGGTGCACACTTAACCCAGTAACCTTCCTACAAGCCATTGCAATGGACCTTCAACCAACTAAGATTCCATGTTAAACTTTTTGAGTTACGGTTTAAAGGAAAAAACCCATTCTCTACCAAACTTCATATGTCATTTGCAGACTATACATCACAATGGGGCGGATGTGAGTCAGGAATGACTCCATCCACCACCTAACATACCCTTATACTTCCCCACTCATCCCCACTTTAAACCTCAAAAGGTGGACTTTTTCAAAACTTTCTACCATCCTACTGGATGCGAATACTCATTATGGATACACACCATTTATTATCGAGAAAATATCATTTTTAGCCCCTCGACTATAATACATGTATCAGTTTTATTCCTTGACTATTAAAATTTTCAATTTTGGTGCATGACTATTCAATTTGTATCACATTTGGTCCTTAACTATTAACATTTTCAAATTAGGTGCATGACTATTCAACTTGTACCACATTTAGTCTTGCCGTTAAATTTTCGGGTCAAAATTCTGACTAAGTCACCGGTGACTGGCTAATTTATTTAATTTTTATACGGGTTTTGTATATAAAATTCACATTCAACATGCTGACTCATTACGAGTTTAGATCTTTAAGACTCATCCCGATTGACCACCCACTATCACTCAAAAAATTTCAATTCACATAAGGTGAATTTGGATCCGCAAAGTGGTTAACATTTACAATTTGAATTTAAAATTTAATTTTTTTCATTGACTTTCTAAAAGTTACTCAGAATACACATTTAGTTGTTACAAAGTGCATAGTATAGTGTTCTAAGTTGCAAAGTTAAATTGACTATAACTACAAAATATTTATGGCATTTTTATTAAAATTTGATCTTATCCATCTGATTTTTACAAATGTAAGGCAGATATTGGTTATTAGTTTTCGATGGAAGTATGTTCTAATGGGATCCTAAACCTATATATATATATATATATATATATATATATATATATATATATATATATATGTGTGTGTGTGTGTGTGTGTGTGTGTGTGTGTGTGTGTGTGTGTGTGTGTGTGTGTGTGTGTGTGTGTGTGTGTGTGTGTGTGTGTGTGTGTGTGTGTGTGTGTGTGTGTTCAAATGACAACCTTTGTTAACATGTGCACTTATGTACCTCTGTGCACCGTTGATCTTGCTTGATCTTGTGATTTATAATAATTTTGGCCTATTAAATACACATCACTGCACCACATCACTACACTACTACACCACTGCACCATATATATCACTGCACTATTGCGCCACTGCACAACTGCACCGAATGTACCACTGCACCACTCCTTAGATCTCGGCCGTCCAATCTCACATCTCAATGGTGCATTAGCTAGAGTGCACAGGTTCACACTCAAGCAGTGGTTCTCACCTTAACTGGAAGTTATATATATATATATATATATATATATATATATATATATATATATATATATATTACCATGTAAGAACAGACTCCAATATAAAAAGTGAGGATATATATGATTGATTCATTTGGGTAGATCAACGTTTGAACGTCGTTGAAAATAAGGGGAAAAAATACATGATAAGGTTTAAAAATATTGAAAACTTAAAATTTCAACGATTATAAAATTAACCCCGCATTTTTTTTAGTTGAGTCTCTTGTGAAACCGCCTCATTGATCCTTTTTCGTGAGAGACCAGTCAAGTTTAGATAGAAATGTAATACTTATGATGGAACCAATTGACTGTTACTTATGAGAAAAAAAAATGTTATATTTTTTATTTTTAAAAAATGTAATACTTATAGAGTCCGTTTCGAAACATGAAGCTGTTTTCCACAAAATAATTTCCAAAAAACAAAAAAAAAATGACTCACTTTTTTAAAAATATTTTAATTTTCTATATTTGGTTCAAGACAAGAAAATTACTCTGTATTTTTTTTTTTTTTTTGGGTTGAAAGTTAAGAAATACGAAGTAACAATTTTTTTATTAGGTTTATTTTCCTGAAAATGAATATATTATTTGTTATACGACAATGACGACAACAAGAACTTGAAGAGAGATGAGATAAGAGGTGGGAGACATAAAAATAAAAAATCTTGAAAACGTCTTCTAACTAAAAATTTAGGAAAACATTTTTCGCCACATAAAACCTTTTTTGTCATTGACTAGAATTAATATTTTTCTTTTATCTTTTTTTTTTGAATACCCAAACATAAAAAATAAATAAATAAATAAAATCTGAAAAATGACTTCTGAAAGTTATTTTCCAAATTTTTAAGCGGACCCTTAAATGAAAATGTAATATTTAAGAATTGAAAAGTTAGTTATTAGAAAAAGTGTAATATTGATCATAAATAAATTAATTGAATATTACTTGTGAGAGAAAACACAATACTTATGAATTATGAGGAAAAGTGTACCACGTATGATATCCTCAGACCCCAACCTAAGATTATAATTGTCATGTGAACATTAAATATTGTGAGCAAACAACTTTAAGTTTAGTAAACAACATATGACAAACAAGGATTGTTAAGGTGAGGACAGAACCGAAAATAAAAATACCATATTGTTATCTGAAAGGCACCATGAGTATATGACACAAAGTGTACCCTGAGTGTGCTTTAAATCTTTGATGCCCAAATAATTTTATGATGCAACTTCTAATGTCCATTTCCACTACATAAAGCTGCAAATAATGTTGAGATGGAATAGGTAAAAAAGGGGGCAAAAAAAGCACTAGATTGCAATGTCAACAGAATGTCATTACATTCCACTGAGGTTAAGGCATCCCTGCCTGTATAAATGCCTTTTCTTTTTGGATCAAATGGAGGGGAAAACCCGACTAGCTATTTCTGTTGACAACACGTGGCAGAGGCACATCCATGGAGTCATCTTTAAGCAGCCCAAGGATCTCGATCTCAGGTTGAGAAGCCCCGAGGACAACCAAGAGCTTTCTTAGCCAACCATTCTGCTCCCTATATAAATGCTTTGGGTTCTCGACAACACTCTCCCTCCATCTTATGAACCAACAACTTGCTTCCATCAATATATAGACAGACACGAATATACTTCTTTTTGTCGGTTTAATTTCCATTCACAACATCCGGGCACAATGGGTACTTCACTTCAATTCCTAGGCTTAAAAATGCACAATAGATTTGCCATGAAGAATACTAGTTTTCTCCAACTTTAACTGCTGTTTATTGTCCTCTTTGCAGCTACAATGTCTTGCAACACTGGATGAACAACTATACATACAACAGCGTGAATACAGAGTAGATGCAATTGGTTCAGTTCTTTTTCGGGTGACGGGGGAAACTCGCAACCATTATCCGAGGGTGTGCACTGAGTAAACCCCGCCTTGTAGCTCTAGCAGACAAAAGGTCACAAGGAGGTAAACCAGCCTAGGTTGCTTGTAGTTGACCGACTCAAACTAAGATGACTGAGATTCAAACTTGCGACCTTGTGGTTACAAGTTTGTATTGTATGTACAGATGGTGTGAGCCGCCTTGTGCTCAAGGGATTATATTATATTAATGCCTATGCCAGAGAATGATACTTTTTTCATGATCATGGCCTTTGCTGCTGTAGTCCTTCACATACTGCCTGACGCATTCCAGACCTTAAAATCCCTTAAGGAAATACTATGTGTACTCTTATTCTCTACTCCCACACTCAAAATCTTGAGGTAAACACTTGTAATGGGGCCCACATGAAAATAATAATAATTTATTAGTACCCGCCACATCAAGAAATAAAATTGAGGGAGTAAGAATTGGGAGTATATGTAGCAGAACTCTTCCCTTAATCCCTTTCATGGGCTTGCTTTTTCAAGAAGATGCTCTTTGAGAAGCATAAACAGCAGGTAGATCCACACATTCATATTCATGCTACCCATGGTCACATGTACGAGTTTACAAACGAACAAACAGGCAAAAAATAAGATTTTTACCTTGTCACCGAGTAGTCCGATCGCTGCTTTGTCATTCCACCACTTCTTTTAGGGCATACGACTTGGAGGCTGAATCTCTCGAGCATTCATTCTCTACCTTCATAGCTAGCAACAATGTACTTGGTCAGTCAGAATCCGGTACACATGTTGTCACAATGTTCCCATCACTTACTAAGATTCTGTTCCTCCTCCTGAGGTTAAATGTGGAATAAGAAAAAAACAAAATGCTCCTTAACAATGTTCAGTTATCTGTGATATGAATTTAGACAGAAGCACAAATTCAGGCTTAAACATATCCAGAATGTCATATGAACAATACCCGCCCACCAGGAAATACCAATGCTGCCTGTCCCTTAACAAATATATCTGACCCTTCCAGCTATTGAAATGATAACATAAAAAAAGAATAAAAAGAAAAATAGGATTCACAACTTTCTTAGTGACACTTTTTTTGACTGCCACATGTCAATACTAAATAAAATAACTGGAACTTCAAATGTAAGCTAAGTGCATTCAATAAGCTAATCTTTCAAGATTCAGGTGCTCAACTATTTTTTTTTTTTTAAATAAAAAGGTCAAATAGTCATTAATAATGTTCAGTGCCTAATACTAAATTACTAATCGACCATGCAGACCATCCTCATTTACAACATATATAATCAAAGGATAATAAAAATGAACCACCACCGCCATCTCAACTAGATGAACTAGAATACTCTTTACTAACAAAAGGAAAATAATGCAAAGTTTTTCTATCTTCCATATCCAATCTAAGAACACACAAGAAAGAATATCATTATTTTGTTCTAACAGCTGAAGTGGAGAACGGAATAAGCATCCAAAGACTCCAAGATTTTCAGAACCTTGAATGATATAACCAAGCATTTTGTCTAAGAAAACAGAATATATTAAGATTTTTTCTTGTGCTCATACCAATACACATTTTAACATGGTGAAGGATGATGCCAAAATGGAGAGTTCTAACATATAATCCCATACATAAATGGTCAATCCCTCAATGGCATCAAAAGATGGAGAGTTCTAACATATGAAGCAAATGGTTGAAGTGGGAATGGAATCAACATCCAAAGACTTTCAAGATTTTCAGAACCCCAAATGATAACCAAGCATTGTGTCTAAGGAAATGGAATATAGCAAGCTTTTTTTTTCTTATGATGATACCATTGCACACTTTAAAATGGTGAAAGGTTGATGCCATAACGAAGAGTTCTAAAACCAACACGGTCACCACATCAAAAGATGGTTTCACATGTTAGAAAACAAATGCCAACTCTTGCAGGGCCTTGCTAAATAAATGAAGTTATATTGAAAATGCAGTCATCAAAATTCAAGGTAACATCAAGAAATTGCTTAGGGTCAGAAATCACTGAACATAAATACTCCAGCTCATTTCCCTTAAGAAGTGGAGATTTTATTAAGGGAGAGAGTGACTTTGAGAGACAATTATATCATAGACAACTAGCAAGTCCTCACAAACAAAATTGCCAAGTGTATCTAATACACATACTGTTGTGGAGTCCAGATGGAAAAATTTAAACAAAACTATAGCATAGAACAACTTACATATCCAATTGCATGTACATAATCCATCACTTGTTATATTACAATCGTTTAAAACTATATAGCCTTTCTTGCAAGAAGAGGTTTAGGAGGGGACAATGATCTAATTTCAGGTGCGGAACTTGGGAAAAGCACATTGAGTTTATGCATCAAAATGTCAGCCCTTGATGGAATTTCATTCAAAAGAAATTGCTGAACAATTGGTTTCTTAAACCACTCCAAGACAGTATCCCCTGGAGCCCTCAAAACAACCTTACTAACCTCAAATGGTGATTCCACCAAGCTTAGCATCTGTGCCACCACTATTCTCAGAGTTGGCCCAGTTACTAATTTGATTCGTCTTGGGACAACACCATAATACAACATCCTCTTCCTGAACCTATGAAGTGTATGCACCACTGCTATAAGAGCTGCTCCGACAGACAAGTTTCTAACATCAAGAGACCAGGCAATATGTTGATCAAATACTATTGCTTTTGGAAAAAGCTTGTTTTCATACGCAACTTTCCATACACATCGGGCACGATTTATCTGCCCCATGAGAACAAGATAGTTAAGTAGAACATTTATAAAGTACCGAGCAGCTCCTTCTTCAAGCTCATAGTCAATACCCTGGAAGAATTCCCTTACAAAGGATAAGACTGGCAGTGTCCGTTGTTCAGGACCAGTGAAGAGTCCACACAAGAAAGTATGAGCCTTATGTTTTGTTGCACTTAAGATTGACATCAAATGCCTCTCATCAGTTTCATCTTGGCACCTTACAAGATGAGCCAGAATTGAGGTGTAAAGTATGAGGTCAACCTTAGCTGCAGAACTCACATACGTTTCAAGGAGAGGCTTAGCAGACTCATACAATCCATTCTTCATACATGACTCAAAGAGCTGTCGTATTATGAAATTATTTGTCCGGATCCCAGAAGAACCCATAAAGCGGAGCCACCTTAAAGCAAGATCAACAGAACTGTCCTTAATGTAAACCATTAAAACATCACTAGCAGTTACATCAACAGAATATCCCATGGCCTTCATTTCAAGTAAAACCTTAGCAGCAACATCCACAAGTTTCTTTTTTGCCAGGAGACTGAGCAAGGCCATAAAAGTACTTTGTCCTGGTCTTAGACCAGCATTTGTCATGGAATTGTAAAGCTTCATTGCAGCATCTACTTGACCAGAAGCGGCATGCATCTCTAAAAGTGATGAATAGGTAGTCGGGGTAGGCATAAATCCAGCCTTTTCCATATCAGAAAAGACAGACATTGCAATATCAAGTTTCCCAGATTTTGCATGTGACTCAACAATCATAGTGTAGAGACCATAATTAGGTCTAAACCCTGTTTTCTTCATCTCATCCCAGAGCCTAAGTGCAGTATCCAATTTCCCAGCCTTAACAAAGGACTCAATCATGGAAACAAACATGGTTGCAGATGGTCGCAGCCCAAAACCTTGCATTTCCATGTACACCTTCATTGACGTGTCTAACCTCCCAGCTTTGCCCATTGTATCAACAAGTGAAGCAAAAATCCCAAAACTTGGCCGGAATTTCTTTTCTTTCATCTCTTGGTAGAGCTTGAATGCCACATCAAGGCGGCCTGATTTCGCTAGACTTGGTATCATTACCTCATAACTACATTCATCTAATGAGCACCTTGCATTTTCCATGTTCTCATATATCTCAAATGCCTTATAAGGCAAGCCCTTATTGAGAAACAAGGTTATAAGAGAATTGTAGGTCTGGCTGTCTACTTTGCAACCAGACTCTTGAATTTTCTTAAAACAACAGAATGCTACCTCCAACTTCTCAGCCTTTGCCAAATACTGAATAACCTGGTTGTAAGCATTAAATAAAGATACCCCATTCTCACCAGAATCAAGAACCATATCATCAAAAACAGATTGAATCCCATCAAAATCTCTAGTTTGATTCAACCTATCAAACAGCATCATATAGCACTCATCACTTGGCTTATACCAAGGTTGCCGCTTGACCCACCGAAACAAGCTTAAGGAAGAATCGGCATCTTCCATAACCTTCAAAGCCTGTGTAATGTGAGTCATATTCGGCACAAAATGAAGTCTATCCAATTGCGTTTCCATATCAGGGCCCCATCTCCACCTTTTAACGATCTCAACTATCTTGGCCACAGCCGATGCATTCAAAATAGGCTTCTTGAGCCCACCCACCATTACATGGTCATCAAGACCTGGCTCAACAGACCTTATCCCCTTTCCGGAGGAAATGAACCCACCAGATTCATCCAAGTAGACTATGTCTTCAGTCCACTCATTGGAATTTTCAGTACCCTTTCCGGAACAATAACTTCTGGAGAGATAAGGGCTTTTTATAACATCGTTATTGCACGAAGGGGATAGAAACTGGGATTTTGTGCATTTCTGATTGAATACATTAACGGCCCAAGAAAAGCCATAGTTCTTTCCCAGTGGAGGATAAATGGTAAGAAAACATTTGGCACTTCTAATATTTTTACAGAAATGAAGGCTGCGAAAGATCATTGTACAAGAAGATTATTTGCGCAGAAAACAATACCTTTGCATTTTTCAATCATTCAAAAACGTGGAAATTCCTAGAATTGGGTTGTTCCTTATCAAGAGAGTGTTGAGACTTGAAATGGTAGCATTCCACTTCTTCTTTGCCTAGAAACGTAGAGATAAACAGGCTCTCAAAAACCCTAAACCCTAGGTTGTTTGTATGGCTTCTAGGAAAGGTTCGGGGCGATGCTGGAGCCCGGAAGATGACCCGTATTGCCTAAACCAGATGCAAATATTCAATTTTCATATGGTAAATAACTAAATATAATGTCTTCATATATACAAATTAAAATAATTAATTAATTAATATAATGTGTAACTATAAATTTAATTAATATAAAAATAAAATTGATTAATTTAAATATAATCAAATTGAGTATTACATCAAAAAAAAAAAAAAATTGAGTATTTTTAATTTGTGATAAAATAGTAAAGATATGTGGCTTGTGGTCCACTGATATCGGATTGCTCCCTTATGTGAGAGGTCTAGGTTTCAAGCCTCGTTGTAGGCATAGATTGAATGAGTATCCCCCTTCTTTTGTAATAAAAAAAAATAATAGAGATACGTATTGCACTCTCTAAATAGTTATAATCTAAAATAAAAATTCTTTAAAGTAGGGAGAAATTTTGTTTGAGATATAATATATCAACTTTTTAATAAAATATACATTTTAATTAAAGCAATATCATAATAGAACAATTAAAATTTGTGCTACAACAAATAAGGATTGACAATGTATTTTTAGAAGGGGGTTCCTTGTGAGCAAGGGTCTAGCCTTTGTGGTTCATGTTCAGTTGAGTTACCATGATTTACATCCTCTCAAATGCTCTGTCGGGTCGGAGTGTGGGGCCCTTAGGGTTGAGGTTTAACTTTTTGGAAGAAAATTTTAATATAATGTTAATATTATTTGAGGATATCAATTCAAAGTTTAATACATTTTACTACTACTATAATTTTCTTCCAAATGCTACTTTGACATGATTAATTCCATATATTGGATGAACCTTCGTATTGTGTCTATGCCATATATATATATATATATACATATATATATATATATATATATATATATATATATATATATATGATGGGGATATGGGACCCGGGGGTCCATTTTATTGGAAAGTATGGACCCATGTTGGGGTGGTGAAGGAAAGAGGTTTGCCCAAGTCTTATTGGGCTAAGGGGACATGGTGGCCCAAAAAGGCACAAAGGAAGAGAGAGAAGGGGTTTCGGGGGAGAAACCGCCGGCGGATGGCCGGCGATTGACCGGCATGGTGGCCGGCCGGACTCCCGACGGCGGTGCGCCTCCTGTCGTCCCGGCGGCGCCCCACCACCGTGGCCAGTGAAAGCCACTGGCCATGGGTAAAATGTTACAAGAAAGGCTACCAAGGCGCTACGCTGTCAGCAGGGTTTGACCCATGCCCTCAAGCACAACTGGCACGCACCATACCACCAAACCACGTCAACTATTGTTTCTTAAAGCGCAGCAAATATATATGACCTATATTTGCGGCTGGCAGCCTCCATCACAGGCCATGACCGGCCGTTGGCCGGCCGGCGACTGGCCGGCGCCAGGTCCCGCCGGCCACCTCAGGCCGAGGCGCGGCCAGTGGGGGCAGTGCGCCCCCCAGATTGTCAACGGCACCCCCCCCCCCCCTTCCCGAGGGGGTGTTGGGCGGGTGCGCCGAGCATGATGGACCGGGGTGGTATGCGCGGGAGTCTTGGAAGTATGGCGAACGTGCCCGCTTGCGTAGCGATAAATGGGGAAGTAGGGATGGATTGCATGTCGAGGAGGAGGGGGGCTTGCTATAAATAGGGGCCCTGAATTTTTGGCTAAGGGCAACACAGACACGACAGGCACTACGGTCTAGTGGTCTTGATCTATACTTTCAACCCAGCTACCTGGGTTCGATTCTTACCAGTAGCGTAGTTAGCAATTGGCTATCATGTGGGCCTTGTTCTTTGTATTTGGGTCACTGTTCTTGGGCCTGTACCTTGGGCTTCTATACACATTGCGTTGGGCCTAGCGCCCTACTCCCCATTCTGTACTCCTGTACCCGGTTTATGGTGGACCCGGTCCCAATAAAACCATCATTGGCACTGTCTGTGGGGCTCGCTACAATTAGCCCGTGTTTGTAGTCTCTATCATCCTAGCAAGGTTCCGAGGTACGCCCAAATGGTTGATTCGCAAGAGGAGCTACCCTATAAGGTAACACACTTAGCACATCGAGACGCTACTCTGGTGAGTACACTTGAACACTTAGTTAGGTAAAGATTGTGTTTATTTTCCCGAACTATGTGCTCCTATGTGCTCTGCAAAGATTGTGTTTATTTTCCAAAACTAGGTGCCCCTATGTGCTCCTATGTGCTCTGCATGTTCGGCCCACGGCCACCTCAACTATATGCTCATATGTGCTCTGCATGTTTAACCCGCGACCACCTCAACTATATGCTCATATGTGCTCTGCATGCTTGGCCTGCGACCACCTCAACTATGTGCTTCTATGTGCTCTGCATGCTTGGCCCACGACCACCTCAACTATGTGCTCTGCATGCTTGGCCCACGGCCACCTCAACTATGTGCTCCTATGTGCTCTTACATGCTATGCATGCTGGCTCTACGGCCATGGCGGATGGGGCATGTGGGTTATCGCAACCCACATGCGCGGACTTGCCCCCGCAAGCCGCATGGTTTTGGCGGATGGGGCATGTGGGTTATCGCAACCCACATGCGCGGACTTGCCCCCGGTAAGCCGCAAGGTTTTTGGCGGATGGGGCGTGTGGGTTATCGCAACCCACATGCACGGACTTGCCCCTGGCAAGCCGCATGGTTTTGGCGGATGGGGCATGTGGGTTATCGCAACCCACATGCGCGGACTTGCCCCCGGCAAGCCGCATGGTTTTGGCGGATGGGGCATGTGGGTTATCGCAACCCACATGCGCGGACTTGCCCCCGGTAAGCCGCATGGTTTTTGGCGGATGGGGCGTGTGGGTTATCGCAACCCACGTGCGCGGACTTGTCCCCAGCAAGCCGCATGGTTTTGGCGGATGGGGCATGTGGGTTATCGCAACCCACATGCGCGGACTTGCCCCCGGTAAGCCGCATGGTTTTTGGCGGATGGGGCGTGTGGGTTATCGCAACCCACATGCGCGGACTTGCCATCGGCAAGCCGCATGGTTTTTGGCAAATGGGGCATGTGGGTTATCGCAACCCACATGCGCGGACTTGCCCCCGGCAAGCCGCATGCAGTTGGCGGCAAATTGCATGGCAAAAAAAGAAAAAAGAAAAAAGGAGAATAATAGTGCGAATATAAGTTATTAAAAAAAAACAAAAACAAAATAAAAGAAAAAAAAAAAAAAGGTTGCATACAGGTGTAGCATGGAGAAGGAGCAAAGACATCCATTGAATATTTAAAAGAAGCATACAGGTGCATCATGAGCATGCAGGTGCATCATGAAGAAATCGACAAAAGCATACTAAATAAATGCAACAAAAGAGATGTACAATGCAAGAAGCATCCAAGAAGTGACGATAGAGGAGTCACCTTGGCCTCTCGACACTAGGTGATGAAGCGAAGGCCAGGGCACGTGCGGTGTGTGGCAGAGGTACGGAGTAATGGCGTGACGCACAACAATGGTGATAATGGAAGGTGGCGGCGAGAGATTGAGAAAGGGAAAGAAAGGAGGTGGTGATACCGAATTCTACTTCCTTTAGGCATCAAGATACCTAAAAGAACTGGGGGACTTGTGATGGGGATATGGGACCCCGGGGTCCATTTTATTGGAAAGTATGGACCCATGTTGGGGTAGTGAAGGAAAGAGGTTGGCCCAAGTCTTATTGGGGTTGGCGCAGCAAATATATATGACCTATATTTGCGGCTGGCAGCTTCCATCACCGGCCGTTGGCCGGCCGGCGACTGGCCGGCGCCGGGTCCCGCCGGCCACCTCAGGCCGAGGCGCGGCCAGCGGGGGCAGTGCGCCCCCCAGATTGTCAACGGCACCCCCCCCCCCCCTTCCCGAGGGGGTGCTGGGCGGGTGCGCCGAGCATGATGGACCGGGGTGGTATGCGCGAGAGTCCTGGAAGTATGGCGAATGTGCCCGCTTGCTTAGCGATAAATGGGGAAGTAGGGATGGATTGCATGGGACACATGGACGCTAGAGGAGGAGGGGGACTTGCTATAAATAGGGGCCCTGGATTTTTGGCTAAGGGCAACACAGACACGACAGGCACTACAGTCTAGTGGTCTTGATTTATACTCTCAATCCAGTTACCTGGGTTCGATTCTTACTAGTGGCATAGTCAAACATAGCCTATCTTGCGGGCTTTGTTCTTTGTATTTGGGCTGTCATTTTGGGCCTGTACCTCGGGCTTTGTATGTATCGCGTTGGGGCTAGAGCCCTACCCCCGTTCTGTACCTTGTACCCGGTTTATGGTGGACCCGGTCCCAATAAAACCATCAATATATATATATATATATATATATATATATATATATATATATATATATATATATATATATATTATATATATATATATATATATATATATATACACAAAATTAGGTTATGGTGCGATTAGGGTGTCCAGGTGCTATTGTGCGGTTTAATCTGGGCCATTCATCTCGCTTAAATCAACGTCCAAGATTAGCAAAATTAAAAAAAAAAAAAAAACGCGGTGGCAATTTTGTAATTTTTGCATCTAGGTCAAATTAAGGTGAGCGGTTCTGTGATTAATGTGCCTGAGTTTTGAATATAAGATGAGTGAGTCTTGTGCGTAAGGTGCGTGAGTTTTGTGCTTAATGTGCGTGGGGTTGTGCTTAATGTGAGTAGTTGTTAAAACTTAAAGTGTGGGCTTTTGTGCTTAAGGTGCGTGAGATTTGTTCTTAATGTGAGTGGAGTTTGTGCTTAATGTGCGTAGGGTTTGTGCTTAATGTGTGTGAGGTTAATGATTAATGTCAGTAGTTGTTGAAACTTAAGGTCCGTGAGTTAATACTTAAAGTGCGTGGGTTTTGTGCTTAATGTGCATGAGGTTGTGCTTAATGTGCCGCGGGTTTTGTATTTAATGTGCGTGGGTTTGTGCTTATGTCAGTAGTTGTATTGTTGAAACTTAAGGTCTGTAAGTTAATACTTAAAGTGCGTGGGTTTTGTGCTTAATGTGTCTGAGGTTGTGCTTAATGTGCGTGAGTTTTGTACTTAATGTGCATGTGGTCGATAGATAAACATATTATGTATCTGCAGTTAGCATATTCTGTATAATAGTTAATAGTTTATGTATATGTAGTTACTATTTTATGTATCTGTAGTTAACATGTTATGTACTACAGACACATAATATGTTTGTAAACATATTATATGTCTACCGTTAAAATATTATGTACATGTAGTTAATAGTTTATGTGTATGTAGTTAACATGTTATGTGTCTTCAATTTATTTACATGTACAAAACGATTAACTGCATGTACAAAATAGGCTAACTTTAGACAAAATATGAAGGTTATTTTGAACCAAGGTCCACAATGTCAGTCGTTATATAATAGCTTCGTGGACCATGGTCCAAAAAAAGGTGTCGTTGTCGTTACATATTAACAGAGCCCGTATTTTTGGTGTGTTAATTACAAAATGAAATTGTCTCACATATTGTTTTTATATTGTCAAATGAAACAGTAATTGAATTGAAATGAAACTGTAGTTGTGTTGAAATGAAACTGCAGTGTATATAAAATGAAACTGAATAACAGTTTCACATATTTGAGTGTATATTGTCCAATGAAACTGTAGTTATATCGAAATGATATTGTAGCTATGTTATAATGAAACTATAGTGTATATAAAATGAAACTGAATAACAGTTTCACATATTTGAAAGTATAATGTCGAATGAATTGAAACTGTAGTTGTATTGAAATGAAACTGCAGTGTATATTGTCCAATGAAACTGTAGTTATATCCAAATGATATTGTAGTTATGTTGTAACGAAACTATATAGTGTATATAAAATGAAACTGAATAACAGTTTTACATATTTGAGTGTATAATGTCGAATGAAACTGTAGTTATATCGAAATGAAATTGTAGTTGTGTAATTGTGTTGAAATGAAACTGCAGTGTATATAAAATATTGAAACTGAATATGTATTACAAACAGAGCTACTTTATGCGGCACGGTGTGGTATAGGTGCCGTTTCTTTTCATTAAAAGAAACGACACCATTTTGGACCATGGTCCACGGTATAATTTGCACCACAATGCAAGGTAGACCTTAGTCGATGATATAATTTACCAAATTTCATAGGTCCATTTTTTTATGCCAAATTTTAATGCAAATTATACCATGGACCAGGGTCCACTTTGCATTGTGGATCTTGGTTTAAGAAGACATTAATTAAAATCACGTGTCTACAATTATATGTTAACTACAAACACATATATAATGTTAACTACAGACACATAATGGCCATGTTTGGTAAAATGGCTGTTAGCTGATAGCGGTTAACTGTTAGCTGATTGTGTTAATTAGAGGGTATAAATAGTTGATAACATTAGCTGATTGTAGAAAAGTGTTTGGTAAATTAGTTGTTAGCTGATAGCTGTTTGGTATAATTTCTTTTTTCAAAAAGCTAATTGAAAAAGTTGCTTGGAGTAACTTTTTGAATTTTAGCCTTTTGGAGTTGCAAAAAACTAATTAACCAAACATTTATATTGATATTTTAACTAAATCAAACAATTAATAGTGGTCAAATAGGCCAAAATTGGCCTATAGGCCAATTTTTTACCAAACAGGGCCAATATGTTAATTGCATGTACATAATATGCAGTTAACATATTATGTGTTTGTAGTTAAAACATTATGTGCAATCAATTTATTTATAAGCACATAAGTTATTAACTGAAGGCACATAATATGTGCAATCAATATGTTATCTACAATGCAAGGTGGCACTTGGTCGGTGGTATAACAATTGAAATTTTAATGCTTACTAGCATGAGGCATTCACAACGGTGCTTATTAGGTGGACTATGGTCCACACAATTGTGTAGACCATGCATATGTTACATTATTTTATATGCGTATGGGACATTATTTTCTATGCATATGGTGCATTATTTTTATACACAATGTCCATTATTTGAATGCATATAAAATAGTATGAAAACAACTTGATGGCTCATTATTTATATGCATAAGGTTCACTATTCGTGTGCATGCATATGGCTCATTGTTTGAGCATGTAAAAACTAATTTAATGTTGGTTATTTAGACAAGTAGATTATATTTTAGGCTCATTTCTATTGTACATGGCGTTTATTATTTGTAGAACATAGTTGGACTTATTCGGCATATCCCACCCTCATCTATAATGTGTAAATACAATTGATGATATTATGTTTTTATTTTTTCGAAATGAAAAATTGCTATATATTTAGACAAAAATATATCATCTATACAAATGAATTAGGACAGCAATTGATTACTATAACTAAGTTGCAAGAGAACGAGCACATTTGCTCAATTTATAAAAATCCTAAACAATGATATATAAAATCTCTAAAGTTACAACACCGCATGCGTACATCTACTCATTAGTTATTAATTTGAACAATTATTTGCTCGAATTCAAGCAATGATAACATCATCAAACATAAACGATCCAAATCATATCTCCAACTGTACTATATAATATTTGATGTTATAATTTAAATAATTGTATATCAATCCAAATATTCTTAATATATTATAACAAATTCATTCCGTGCATTGCACGGGTGAAAATACTAGTTTACTTAGAAATATAATATTCAGTAAATCTAGGCTCAGTATTTATATGCACAATATTCACTACTTGTATGCATAAAATTCACTATTTATGTTAATGTGTTTTGATACATACTCCACATTAAAATTTTCCCACTCACAAACCGCATCCAATGTTTCATGGCTATATATGATGAGGATATAATATTTCTGAATGAATCAAATAATAAGTCTGTACAGGAATATATATAGTAGCGAATAGCAAACCTAATACAAGACTAATACTAGTAACAATAGGTAACGAATACTAATAATAATAGAGTCCTAATACTCCCCCTCAAGCACAAGGTGGACTAGCTACAACATTGAGCTTGCCACACAAAGTAGAGAAACGCGGACCAGGGAGAGCTTTAGTGAACACGTCAGCCAGCTGATCCTTAGTAGAAATGAAGCTAACCTGCAACTCTTTCTTTGCCACTTTGTCACGAACAAAGTGATAGTCAATTTCCACATGTTTCGTACGAGCATGGAACACCGGGTTGGAACAGAGATAAGTTGCACCCAGATTATCACACCAGAGTGTGGGAGGAGCTGCCAACGGCAACCGAAGTTCATGCAATAGAGAAACCAACCAGGTGACCTCAGCAGACACGTCAGCTAGTGCCTTGTACTCGGCCTCTGTAGACGAACGAGCAACCGTATGTTGCTTCCGGCAAGACCAAGAGATCAGATTGTCACCAAGAAAAACCGCAAAGCCGCTAGTAGACTTTCTGTCAGCGGGGTCCCCAGCCCAGTCCGAATCCGAAAAAGCATGCACTGCAACAGAGGAGGATGGGCGAATAAACAGACCAAAATGCAAAGTGCCTTTAACGTACCGCAGAACACGTTTGAGCATTGCCCAATGCTCAGTAGTCGGGGAGTGCATATGCTGATAGACCCGATTCACAGCGAAAGATAAATCCGGGCGAGTGACAGTAAGATACTGCAGAGCCCCAGCAAGACTGCGATACTGCGTGGGATCGGCATAGGGAACCACAGATTCAGAAACGGGTTGAGTCACAGGCACCGGAGTAGCCAACGGCTTGCAGTCCACCATACCTGCACGGCTCAAGATATCTCTCATGTATCGCTGCTGAGAAAGAAACAAACCATCACCACGAGAGACCGTCTCAATGCCCAGAAAAAAAAAGACGGAGCACCCATGTCACGAATCTTGAACTCCGAGGCTAAGTCAGTCAGAAGCCGAGTAACACGCGAAGCATCAGATCCCATAACAAGGATATCATCCACATAAACAAGCACATATAAAGATATAGAGTCACGAGTGTATATGAATAAAGAGACATCAGTCTTTGAAGGTGAAAAACCAACCGACACCAAGAAAGCATGTAACCTGTTAAACCATGCGCGAGGAGCCTGCTTAAGACCATAGAGTGACCTCTGTAATAAGCATACATCATCCGGTCGTGACGAGTCCTCATAGCTAGGCGGCTGTCGCATGTAGACTGTCTCTGCAAGATTACCATTCAGAAAGGCGTTGTGAACATCCAACTGCCGAATTACCCAACCGCGAGAGACAGCCAAGGAGAGAAGAAGCCGCACGGTTGTGGGTTTTACAACAGGACTGAAGGTCTCAAAAAAGTCCTGTCCTGCGACTTGATTGAACCCCTTAGCCACCAACCGAGCCTTGTGTCGCTCAATCGTGCCATCAGCCTTGCGCTTCGTCCTGAACACCCATTTGCAGCCTACAACATTCATACCAGGTGTGCGACTAACCAGACGCCAAGTGTGATTCTGGAGCAAGGCATTAAACTCAAGATCCATGGCCTCACGCCATTCCGGATACCGAACTGCTTGAGAATAACAGGTCGGCTCAGAAACAGTCATAAGAGCCACATGCTGCGTCGGCCCCAAAGAACGAGTCGCCATAACATGAGACCGAGGTGGAACCGATTTTACCGCGGGCGCCTTAGGAGCACCCGAGACTGCCACATCTGGAGCCACGGCAGTCTCGGTGCGGGAATCAGAAGCAGCACCAGCAGCCCCGGAATCCGTGTCCATCTCCGGACGAGGATCCGGCCCAGCAGAACAAACACCGGAGCTCGCGCCAACCTGAACGACGCCAACACCCCACGGCTCAATCGGGCGAGAGCTAGAGACCTGAGAGGGGACAGAAGAAGCAAATGGAAATATGGTTTCATCAAACCGCACATGACGGCAAATGAATACCTTGTTAGTAGCAGGATCAAAACAACGATAGCCACGAAACGAAGACGGATAACCAAGAAACACACACGGAGAAGACCGATACTGCAACTTGTTACGATTATACGGGCGTAACAGAGGATAACAGAGACAGCCAAACACAGGCAAGAAAGAGTAAGAAGGACTAGAACGATGCAACCGAGAATGAGGACTATCATTATCCAAAACCCGAGTCGGCATCTTATTGATGAGATAGACCGCAGTCTCAAAGGCATAATCCCAATATCGTTGTGGAACCGAAGCCTGGGCCAAGAGAGCCAAACCCGTTTCCACAACGTGACGATGCCGACGCTCAACTCTACCATTCTGCTCATGGGTATAGGCACAAGACTGCCTATGATTAATACCCAAAGAGACAAAAGTACGGTGCAACCGTTTATACTCTCCCCCTAAATCAGATTGAATAGAGACAATCTTACGACCATATGAACGCTCAACTAGTGACCGAAACTGCTCGAAGATAGCATACACATCAGTTTTCAAACGCATAGGATAAAACCATACATAGCGCGTATAGTCATCAACAAACAAAACAAAATAACGAAAGCCATTGACGGAAAGAAAAGGCGCTGGGCCCCAAATATCAGTATATATAAGTTCTAAAACATGAGACGTAGTAGTATTGACACGAGGCAAGGGAAACCGTGAGGATTTCCCAAGCATACAAGCACGACACAATTCCGAAGTATCACTAAAACTAGACTGAATAGAACATGAATTTAAAATCTGCCGCAAGACACGCGGGTGAGGATGACCCAACCGGCTATGCCACACGTCAGAGGAGACTCGAGAGGCCACAAACGCAGCAGGACTTGAACGAGAGACAGGCCAAGAATAGAGACCCCCCGAAGCCGGCCCTTTATATAGAACTTCCCTGGTTGAACGATCCTTCACAAAGAAACAATCAGGGTGAAACTCAAAAAAGACATTATTATCACGAGCAAACCGTTGCACAGACAATAAAGACGCAGAAAGCCTAGGAACATGAAGAACATCAGACAATCGAAACAGTGTTTTAGATGCGGCTAACGAAGATGAACCAGTACTAACAATAGGTAAACACTTACCGTCACCAACACGAAGATGATCCGGACCATTATAAGGAACCGCCGAGGACATTAAAGACGGATCCGGAGTGGCATGATTCGACGCACCAGTGTCAGGAAACCACTGCTGAGGATTAACCGAAGCCGAATCATCAACAGAATATGCAACATGTGCCCGCGGCCCCGGAGCGCCATCATAACGACGATTGCACGAAGCGGCCGAGTGGCCTTCATCGGAGCAGATCTGGCACTGGACAGCCCCGGCGCCACCTCGACCGCGGCCTCGGCCCTTGCCACGACCTCGGCCTCGATTGCCGCCGCCACGATGCTGCCCGCCCGAGCGACCTCCACCTCGCTGAGCCGCCATGGCGACCGGAGCAGCAGCAACGTCACCACCATCATCAGCACATATAAAGGCCTGCGAAACAAGAAAATCGGATAACTCGGGTAAAGACACCGGAGCACCCCTCGTCAGCGACGCCACCAAAGGGCGATATTCGGACCGCAAGCCCCGGAATATATACATATTCTGATCTTCTAGTGTCACCGGACGGCCGGCAAGTGCCAAATCCTCAATAAGCACCTGAGCACGCCCAAGATAATCCGGGATCGAAGCATCCCCCTGCCGCAATCCTTGCAGTTCGCCCACCAACCGAAGAGCACGGGCCCGAGTCGTCGAACCAAGAACCTGTTCGATCGCCACCCACAAATGCCGAGAGGAGGTTTTACCGATGGCAAGATGCATCATCTCGTCGGACAAGGACGAGATCAACAAGGAGAGCACGACCTTATCTTGACGAAGCCATGCACTCCGAGCGGCGGACGATACGGCCGACGAAGACACGGCAGCAGCAGCCTCCTCGGCAGAAGGTACCGTAATCGCAGTAAACGGGGGACACACAGACGTTCCATCGACAAAACCCAATAATCCTTGGCCATCCAGGAACGGAAGAAGCTGAGTGCGCCAAAACAAAAAATTACGGGACGTCAATTTGATGGAAACGAAGTGATGAGCCGAAGAAAACGACACCCCGGACTGCAAGGGTGCCACAAGCGCAGCCTCAGAAACAGTCCGTTCAGAACCGCCATCAGAACCGAGGTGCGCCATAGAGAGAGAGAAAAAGAACCTGCTGATACCAGATGAGGATATAATATTTCTGAATGAATCAAATAATAAGTTTGTACAAGAATATATATAGTAGCGAATAGCAAACCTAATACAAGACTAATACTAGTAACAATAGGTAACGAATACTAATAATAATAGAGTCCTAATATATATATAACACATTTTCAATTTATGTCTCTTGAATAAATTCATTTAACTTTTTGGTTATGTTCGTCATGATGATCATACTAAGTCAAATTCATTACGATCATACATCAAATATATTACAAATCAATTTAAACTATGAAGACACATGCCATGTTGGTAATATAGTTAACTTATCGGTCAATTTTGATTTGTTTAATCACTTTTAACTGTTTGACTTTGTTAAAATAGCTGAGTGTTTGGTTAATCATCTTCTTGTAATAGTTTATTGTTCTAAAATGCTAAAATTAAAAAAAAAAAAAAAAAAAAAAAAAAAAAAAAAAAAAAAAAAAAAACTGCTCATAACAGTTTTTTTAAATTATACCCTTAAAAATCATTTTGCATGTAATCGATCAGTTATAAGTAATATTTAATTTATCAAACATTTTCTATAATCAGTTGATGTTATCAACTAGTCAAACCTACTAACATATCAGTGAATTTGACGAACAAATCTGGTGGATTATACAACACGATCATGTTCCTTGGCTTTCTTTCTTAAAATAACAGTACTTATTAAAACATTGTTTGTAATCCAACTTTAAGAGATTACACATAGAATGGGGTTGTGTGGCATGGCAGGGAGGGATACTTGACTCAAAAGCAAGTAAAAGACACTCCCAACTTTTGATGATCAACTAGCTAGCTAGTTTTCCCATGTAATCAAGGCAAGCACATATGCTGTCCTTCACAACTATACAACATACCCAACTCTCATGTATATGATATATGACACAACCTATGTACATGATTAAACTATAATATTTGATTTGGATTTATTTGATAAATATTATTAAGAAAATACTATGTGCACTCTTAATTTCTACTCTTAATATATAATTTCACGGTCAAATTCTTGATGTGAACACTTTTCTGGAGACCCACATGATGAAAATAGTTCATCCTTATTTGTTACACATCAGGGAGTAACAATTGTGGAATAGAATTTAGAAATATACTATACATAATACAACTCATATTATTATTCGTTATAACAAAGTGACCATTAGAGCTTAATTGTAATATAGTGAATACTACTTTAGTTGGAGTAAGCAGTTATTAGAGTGAAATACGAATCGTTGTTTCTGAAATAATTTGTGAACGTACATTTCATTTGATCCTATATAATATATGATGAAACTTTGGATTTTTATCTTTCTTTTTTTTTTTTTTTGGGAAAAAGTTACATTTTTAAAAATGTTTCTTGTGGTAGACATTGAAATGCAAAGAAGCAAATGCACAAAAACACATATATACACTGATGTAAAGTGGTGTCCTAAAGAATCATCTTTATTGATTTCGCAGCTAGCTTATATGGCTTTTTTACTACAACTTAATTAGCTTCTCTTGCTTGCTCTTCTTTCTTCCTCTGATGCCTCTATATTTCCACTTTACTCTTGCTTCCTCTTCCAACTTCTAGTTTTTAATTATTATTCAATATTATGCTCTCTCTCTCTCTATATATATATATATCTATATTTCTCTCTCTGCCTATATATATATTTATAGATATATGTGTGTGTAAGTGTATATATATAACTGTTCTGTGTGTGTGAATTGATGGTAGTTAATTAGCTAGCTCGCTAGGAGAAAATTATAAAACAACTTCAAAATATACATACAGACATTAATTCTAGTTTTTATGGAGTCTCTCTCATTGATGAACATGGGAAGAACAAGAAGCAGATCTTCATCATCATCAGTATATATAGTGTCTTGTCTGCTTCAATGTTTATGTGTGCTAATTGGAATGTTTGTCTTCATCACACATTGTGGTAAGTTGCTATTTATTACCTACTAAAATTATTGTTTTTACTACTCATATAATTTTTGTTTTCTCCTACTCACCATACGCTTAAATATAACTTCTCCCGAATAAGATTGATCTAATAGTAATTTTACTCTAAATTAACATAAAAATTAAATGTTGTGGCGATATTAACTTTTTGTGCTTCAGTAGGTTGAGAAAGTAGTTATGAACAGATATTGCATTGTAAATTTGTAACAGAATCAGTAGTACTCAAAAAAATATAAAAATGATGATATTTTGATTAATGTAGTCTAAATGAACAACTGCATATATTATATGGTTTTAAAATGAGTAATTGCCGATGAAGCAACCCTAGCCAAGTTGGTTACACTTGTAAATAGTGACGGTGGGTTTTCTCATCATTCAAAATGATTGAGTAATTGCCTATCAATTTACTAATAACATCATAAATAAATAAATAATCACAACTATTGAAAATGTTAATTGAAAAAAAAATAAAAGTAAATAAATATGGAATTGAAACATATATTCCATCTCAACTTAAATTCTATATACATGCTTATAATTAGTCTGCATATTTATGTTTATATATTATATATGTTCAACATTTCATTGAAACATATTTGCGTTTATATATTATATATGCTGAACATGAAGTGCTTCACTATAACAAATTTACTAAAAATCATACAAATACTAATTTTCTTTTGTTAATTTTATTGTATTATCTTTGTTGAAGATGCAAAAAAATTATCTCCAACCTCTCCCAGAGCTCCCATTCATTCATCATCATCAAAGACAGTGAAGAGGTTTGATGTGTTTCTACCGTTGGATTCAAACTCTAAATCCTACGGCGTGAGTTCTCCTTTCAATTTGCCACCTTATGACTCTCTAGCTCCGATTCCCTTGCCGGAAAACTCCCCACCCTACTGCGTGTATCCTCCTCCGTCCACCACTGTCCCTAGCCCCGCCGCCGGCAGCGGCGGCGGAGGCGGCAGCGGAGGATACATTCCATCACCTCCCATGCTACCCAGCCCACCACAAAACGTGCCTTACTATGGCCCACCTCAAAGTGTTCCGAGCCCAACAGAGCCCGGTATGAGCCCACCATTTTATTACGAGCCCAGCCCGCCAACGAGCATTATCCCATCGCCAACCGGGCCGTACGTGCCCACCCCGTTCCTGCCGCCGGTGGTGTACCCGCCGCCTAGTGTGCCGCCACCGCCGTCGACTGCGGCGCCAACGGCGCTGTGGTGCGTGGCGAAGCCGGCGGTGCCGGAGCCGATAATACAGGAGGCGATGAACTACGCGTGCGCATCGGGCGCGGAATGCGATCAGATTCAGCCCAACGGGTCGTGCTTCCAGCCGGACACTCTATTGGCGCACGCCTCCTACGCCTTTAACAGCTACTGGCAGAGGACGAAGCAGGCCGGCGGCACCTGTGAATTCGGAGGCACCGCTATGCTTGTCACCGTCGATCCAAGTAAGTTGTCAATCCATTACTTATTATTCCATGCATGGTTGAAAAAAATCGTTAAGCGCTCATCCGGCGCTCGGATGAGCTCGGGGATTAATCAGTGCCTAGGCGTCAGTGTACTTTTTATTTTATTTTTTATTTTTAAAAAATATTTTTAAAATTTTTAAATTTTTTTAAGACTTATAATTATAAACTATTTAATAGTAATAGTTAATACTAAAATATTAAATATTAACCTAAAAAGCATCTAGAGTTTGAACAACTTAGGTTTATTTCACTCAAAACGATGTTGTTTTGAGTGAAATAACTCATTTAAAAAAGAATGGACCAATAGTTAATTGGCCGACTAGGCGACCTAGACGGTGCCTAGGCGGCCTAGTCGGCGCCTAGAAGGCTTAGGCGGTTAGTGCCTAAACAGCCTAGACGGCACTTAGGCGGCCTAGTCGGCCGCCTAGCCGGCTAGGCTCCTAGACCACCGATTATGGTGATACGCTATGCGGCCGGCCAGCGCCTAGCGCTTAGGCGTCGATTAATTAGTGCCTATGCGGGATTTTTGCAACACTGATTCTATGCATCATTCATTCATCAATAATAATAATCTGCGAGTTTTCTGATCACCTCACGGATTTTTATCGATAAAATCAGTCGTATCATAATAAGGATGTCAATTTTCTCTATCTTCCATAGAGATTCCATATCCCCGCTTCAATAGGAACTGGAATGAGTAAAATTTATGGAATCAGGGACATGGACGGGAATGGAGAATATTTTCAATTCCCTTTCAAAATGGGGGACGGAAATACCCTTCTCCCCTCTCTCGTCCTTTATTTTTAAAATATAATAATAATAATAATAATAATAATAATAATAATAATAATAAATTATTATTATTATTATTATTATTATTATTATTATTATTATTATTATTATTATTATAGATATATTGTATTATATTTTGTTATTCAATGTGTTATATTTTTGTAATAGTCTATTTATATTTTTATTTGCATGAAAACTATTTGAATATTATATCTGACATTTCAACTGTTATTGAGAATTGATGAAGATTTAACTGTTTTAAGATTAAAAAAATGTAATATTTAAAAAATTTTATTTTAACATTGTAAATTATACTAGTTTGACTATTATTTGAACCCAAAAAAAAAATATTAGTTTAATTAAAATTTGACCAGGGATGAGAGTTCCCCGTCCTTGAAAATTTCCTGCAGAAATGGGAATGGAAAAGATTTCCTATCCCTGGTGACGATGGGGACGGGGGCGGAGACCATGGTGGGGTTTAAGGGTCGGGGATGGAGAGTATACTCCCCGCTCCGTAGACATTCCTACGTCATGAAGAAAATGTAATTTGGAAATTTAATACTAATGAATAATAAATTATTTATTAATTACTTATAAGAAAAAGTGTAATATTTTTAAGGAAAAATATAATACTTTCAAATCTAAACACAACCAAGATGGGTCAGTCAGTCGTTCGAATCCCAGCCTTCTTGATTTGACTCGATCAGTTATGAGTAACCTATGCTGATTTATCTCATTGTAGTCCTTTACCGGCTAACCAGAAGATGGGATTTACCTAAAAAACCTATTATTTAAGATTGAATGATTATGAGACGATGAAGAATGTAATATTAAAATTTGAAAAGTTACTTATGTGATATACTTATCAAAGAGTCAACACGTCTCACGAATCCTCATAGAAAAATTTGCCTAATAATAATACTAATAATATTCAATTTACACAAAACTAATTTGGTAATTACGTTGTTTTGGGCCCCTCAACAGGTTACGATGGATGCCATTTTACCTACGTCTGATTTGGCCTTGTACCGGGAATGGATCACAACCACACATGAGCATGTACGTACTGGACAAGGTCAGATAATGTCCCCTTTAATTTGATCCATATTAACACATCCAGCTACCGTTGTTTATGTCAACAACAAACAACATTTTGTACGTCTGTTAATTTTTCTTTTATCATGAAACAATAGTTTGGTACGTGAACCTCCACAATGTTATTTTTGTTGTTGCGGATTGTTTCCTTGTTGCACTTATAAACACTTCGGCTTTTCTTCTCATTCACAAATAATGTTATTGATTACCAAGGCCTTATTTGATAACATAGTTATAAACATACACAAAATATGAAATTTGTTAAAATTTAACAACTGTCGTTTCTTTTACTTATTAAAGAAATGACGCCGTTTGCATACCATAATCCATATAGCTGTATGGACCATGGTTCACGGTATAACAACCGGACTCATCACCCCATGGCGGGCCCCACGGCAATTAGCACCTGGGCTTGATAATTAACCAAACTAATCAACTCAAAAGGTCATTTGGGCCAAATCACATCCATGTGATTTTTTTAACCAAGAAATTGGCAATTTATATCTTGGACCAGGGTCCACATAGCTATGTGGACCCTGAATCAAAACGACGTCGTTTGATATTTAAATTTTAACAGAATTCGTAACCTTCCATTTCATATGTTTTAACAGAACTTTTAATTTATTTTAGATACAAAATCCTTATGCGTAATGTATAGAATTACGTAACACGAGATACATACATATGTTTTCTATTTTACTTATTCTCAAATTTGATTTATGTAAATAATTAATGTCATATAGGTACATAATTGCATAATATAAGACATAAATTCGTAAAATAAGAAATACAATGTGTTTTGTGTTATACAACTACTAATCAATTTCATGTATAGAATCCTTATGCTTAATGTACAGAATTGCATAACATAATGTACAGAAACACATAACATGATGTACAGAAACGTATAACACGAGATACATACACATGTTTTTTATTTTACTTATTCTCATATCTAATTTATGTAAATAATTTATGTCTTATAAGCACATAATTTTATAATACAAGACATAAATTCGTAAAATAAGACACACAATATGTTTTGTGTTATACAACTATTAATCAATTTCATGTACAAAATCTTTACGCTTAAGATACGAAATTTCGTAACATAATGTACAGAAACGTATAACACGATGTACATAAACATGCTTTACAATAATAAAAAAAAAAAAAAACAAAAAAACAAAAAAACAAAAAAACAAAAAAAAAAACAAAATTCTGTAACGCGAATTAAAAAATAAACGGTCCACGTTAAAATTAAAGTTCAAAACAACATCGTATAAGATTAGGGTCCACAGTCCACAATATAACGATTGCAAGAAATTGGAGTCGGGAATTTCAATTAACCCAAGCAAATCAAATGCTAACCCAATTAGCCACAATTAAAAAATAATTAATTCAACAATCATCTTCAAATAAATCCAATTACACGTCTATCGACTCATTTATCATTACTAAATTTCAAATTCAAATCTGCATGTGAAGGTTGCAGTGCAGTTGAAGACAAGAGTCAAGAGTGGCATTTGAGGGGTTCTCTTAATGAGAACTGATAGAGTTGTATTTAATAATGATCAATAATATAATATACAGATTATAGGTATATATAAGGAGGAAGTCTCAGTGAGATTGGGATAAAAAATTATAATCAAACTCAAATACATAGAGTCCTAATATTCCCCCTCAAGCACAAGGTACACTAGTGAGTTGTAGCTTGTTCCGAAGAAATGAAAAACGAGGACCAGGTAGAGCCTTCGTATATCTGCCAACTGATCCTTGGTTGAAATAAAATTAACTTGTATATCTCCTTTCGCAACTCTTGTCTCTGACAAAATGATAATCAATTTCTATATGTTTGGTTCTAGCATTGAATATAGGATTTGCACACATATGTAGCTCCAAGATTATCACACCAAAGCCTGGGAGTGGACACGTTGGTTATGCCAATTTCTCGTAGGAGCAAGAGAGTCCAAATGACCTTAGCACAGACATATGTTATAGCTTATATTCAACTTCAGTAGATGATCTAGCAACAGTTCGTTGTTTCTCGCATACCCATGATATAATATTAGAACAAAGAAAAACAGCATACCCGCTAGTTGATTTACAATCATCAGGGCAACCAGCCCAATCAGAATATGAGAAAGCATGCAATTCCCTGGATATCGATTGCCGAATTCTCAAACCAAAAGTGATAGTTCCCTTTACATACCTTAGAACACGTTTCAACTGTTCCCATTGTGAGACTGTAGGTGCATGCATGTGCTGACATAGCTGATTTACTACAAAAGATAAATCTGGGCGAGTAACTGTAAGATATTGTAAATTAAAGCACCGGTCAGACTTCTATATTGCGTGGCATCATCATATAGATCAACATTGGAAACAGTGGATTTTGAAACAGCTATAGGAATGACTAAAGGTTTACAATCTGTCATGCCAGCCTGTTTTAGGATATATATCATATATCTTTGTTGAGAAAGCAAGATTTCATTTTACATTTAATGGTTTCAATCCCAAGAAAGAAACAGGATTCGCCAAGATCTCTAATATTGAATGCAAACGATAGAGCATTAAGAAGAAAGCTGATAAGATTTTGATCATTGCCCATGACAAGGATATCATCAACATAAACAAGAACATAAATGAATCTTGAAGCCTGTGAGTAGTAAAACAATGATACATCTGTTTTTGAAGCTTTAAAACCAGTTGCCTGAAAAAAAAGTATGCAAGCGATTAAACCAGGCTCTTGGGCCTGTTTTAATCCATATAGAGAACGTTTCAATAGACAAACATGAGGATATAGCCAGAGATAGAAGTAACCTGACAGTAGTTGGCTTGACAACTCGGCTAAAGGTGTCAAAAAAATCCTGACCAGGTACCTGATTGAATCCTTTTACTACTAACATTGCTTTGTAGCGATCTATCGACCCATCAGCTTTCCTTTTGGTACGAAAGACCCATTTGCAACCAATAATATTCATATCAAACTGAGATGAAACAAGATACCATATTTCATTCTGAAGAAGAGCATTGAACTCATCATCCATTGCCTTGCGCCATTCATCGTGTTTGACATCCTGTGTATAATAAGTAGGTTCAGTAGGACAAACCTGGGCTGATAGAGTCAAGAGAGGACCATCACCGTGACTCTGGGTGGCCATGGAGTGGGTCCGTACTGTGGGCCGCGACGAGCGCCCTCTCGGCCGGCCACAGCGTCGCTGACCAGCGATGATGTAACACCCCCGATTTTCAGCATAATTTAAACCCATTAAAGCTTACCAAATAAGAACAATTCTATCATTAATATCCCAAAAAGGCGGAAGCTAAACATAAGTGTTGGGGTGCTATGCCACATCTAAGCTTGAGAACCTAGATACACAGGCTAAAACTAACTAAACAAAGTATAAATTATAATCATTATTCAAATACAAGCATGGCTCACAGGCGCTCACGAGCCAATTAATAAAAAACATGCGGTGTAGCAACCGTTAGCGAATAATGCTAAGTATCACACTTCCACCCGTTGAGTACAATAAGTATAAATATAGGAAAACCATTTTGAGACTTAGGAATACATAAATATAGACCTAAACAACTCTAACTTTAAAACCAGAGATAAGTCTCAAGGCGCACCAACAAATTTGACACGACAAGGCACATAAAGACACAGGCATGAACCATAACCACAAGACAGGACCACATGGATTTTTAGAGCATCTTTATTTGTGATTTTTTCACAGTTTTTTTAAGAGAACATGCCCATTGTCTCGTCCACTGCTCTGTTTTTTTTTGTTTTTTTTTTTTTCTGTTTTTTTTTTCTTTCTTCTTTTCCCTCCCTCCTCTCTTTCCTATTTGGCACCTCAAAAATCACCAAAAAAAAAACACTATTATTGAGGATGCTCTTAGTATTCTTGTGTTTTTATTAGATTGAAGAATGAGGAGGTATTTGTGTTACTGCATTTGGGTTTGAGCTAATTTTATTGTTGTATCATTCGTATTTCAAAATACCAGATCCATCCTCGATTTTGGTGGTAATTTCAATTCTCAATTATTATAATTATACTTTTCGACAAATAATTTTGCGCATAAATACTAATTTGACAAAACCACCAAATCGATATGGACTCATGAATGAACGTACCAAATGATAGGGATGAGCAAAGGGGCCAAAGGCAGACAACATAATCCCGGCCGACAAAGTAACCGACTCAAACTATGAAAGTCAATAAGTCACTCCAACTAGGCCAAAAGGTCGCCATCTGCTTTGCTTGCAAGTCTGCAGAGATTTTACATGAATTTCCAGTTTCAGAAAATTATATATATCTGGTTGGTTCTACAAAGCAGTAAAAGACAGCAGTGAGTGAGTTGTTGCCGGGCTATATTCACAACTTTCACAAATTTGCATCTCCTACAATGGTCAAACGTACAGTGATGATGCACAGTTGAATGTCCTCAAATATTTTCGTGTCCAAAGATTACCATGACATAAATAGCCCAAAATTTAGGGGTAAAAATAACACAAAAAACACCAACACCCCAGCAAAGCTTGACGACTAACTGCTAGCAACTGGATCGCCTCTGTCCTCAACAAGTAGCCTCGGTGAGCAATCAAGCCTTCTATACCGTGCGTGGGGCACTTTACAATAGCGGTTGGTACATCACAAATGCAGCAGAAGAAGGGAGTCGAATTCTATCGACCAAAGAATTAGTCTTACACATACCAATCCATTCAAATCGACGTGTAATTGGGGAAAAGGAGCATCAAGTTATCCAGAGTTTCAGGTAAGAATTTCCTCCCAAACAGGTAACACGGTCGTTCATTCCCATTCCATAAACAGGGCCTAGTTTGAACTTCCTTCTGCAACATACAATAAATTGTTAGGTTAGTACACGACAACCACCAAAATCAAATGCATTATATATTCTACCGAAGAAAAATCATACCCTGGCATCACTGGTAACATGCACGCTCTCAGTAATTGACTGCAGAAACAGAGGAAAAAGAATTAGAGCAACCCATGCCTAATTTGTAATTTCTGGAGAAAACTCATTTCAAATTAGCAAGGAAACAATTATATGGCACAAAATCATTTTAAATCAAGGATTCAGAGGTTATTTATGCATTTATTCCATCAGTAAAATGAATATTCCCGATAGAGATGTCAAAACACAAAATTATTTATGAGGCTT